ATCTGAGCGGCTGTGCCAGGTCACTAGCACTCGTGTTTCCCAACTCAAGAGCCGGGAATCACATCATTTTGTGTAGTTACGACTAGTGCCCAGGCGTCTTCAGAGCCTCTGCCTTTCGGTGGTGTTTACCACAACGGTGTGTTTGCCTGACTAGAGGTCATTTGGTGGTTTGTTTTGTTAAACCAGTGCTTCTCGTGTAGGCAGCATCTATAACACTTCATATCATAGAATGGTTTGGGTTGGAAGGGACCTCAAAGATCATCTAGTTCCAACCCCCCTGCCATGGGCAGGAACACCTTCCACTACACCCTTGCTCAAAGCCTCATCCACCCTGACCTTGAACACTTCCAGGGATGGGGCATCTACAACTTCTCTGGGCAACCTGTTCCAGTGCCTCACCAGCCTCAGAGGGAAAAATTTCCTTATATCCAATCTAAATCTCCCCTCTTTCAGTTTAAAGCCATTGCCCCTTGTCCTATCACTACATGCCCTTGTAAAAAGTCCCTCTCCAGCTTTCTTGTAGGCCCCCTTTAAGTACTGGAAGGCTGATGATGAAGTCTCCGTTTTCCTCTCACAGCTGTCACTAACATACATTCAGAAAGCTATCTGCCTTATATTCCCATATACCTTTATAGTTTCCTAAATAAACTGTAGATTTTTTTTGCTCTTACTTAAACACTAAGAAGCCTAATCCAGCCAAAAGCACCAATTTGTTCAGTTAGAAATAATTTTACACCTTGCCTGAGCTACAGGTATGTAAAAGCTGCATCAGATCCGGGTGTTAGATCTGTTCTTAAAAATGCACATATTCACTGCCCTGCTCTCAGCCTTCATAGAATCATAGAATGGTTAGGGCTGGAAGGGACCTTCAAAGGTCATCTAGTCCAACCCCTCTGCAAGGAACAGGGATATCTCCAACTAAATCAGGTTGCTTCCTTACTAAGCATTAAAAAAATTTGCAAGTATCAGAAGTACTCCTGTATGGATTTGATCTGGCCATGCTTAGCTGTGGCACGATCCTTTCACCTTTAAACATCTGGGAAAGTGTATGAATCTGCTTTTATATGTTGACTTTACCATTCTCTTGGCAAGTCTAGTCTGTGTTGGATGTCCTTACAGAAGAGGGGAAAAAAAAAAAATTGCAGTTGGCTTTGCTTCTGCAGCTGCTTTTGTCACCTTGTGAAGACACAAAGTCAAAGCAGCAGTTAGACTGAAGAAAAAGACTCCAGGAAAGTAACTTTTTCCCCCCCTACAAAATGTTATTTGGGCTCCAAATTTAAAGTCTTAAGAAGTAAATGAGTTTTCTCCGAAAGCATAGACTCCTTTCTGAATAAAATCCTGGAATTAAATAGCTAAAAAAATGCTGCGTTTGGCTGTACTCGGTAAAATGTGTAAATACAGCTTTATACACAAATAACTGGACAAAACCAGTAACTGAAGTATGTTCTGAAGACAATAAGTCCCACTGGCCTTGCTGTTGCTAAAGTTGAAAATCACATTGCTGCTGTCCCGCTACCGTCTTTGAAGGCATGCATCCCTTTAGAAGATAGCCTTACACTAAGTGCTTTTCAGCTTTCCTGCAACGCAACAGGAGTTTTTATAGTCCAGCCTCACACCTTCTTCCTCTTACCTCCAACCGTGACTTCCTACCGTGACTAAACACGGGACTCTCTGAGCCCTTCTGTCCTTCAGAAAATAGCGTATGAAGAATGCTGTGGCGAGGGATGCTTACCTAGCCTCAAGCAACTTCCTTTAGGCTGCGTTTTCCTGGAGAGCTCACTCCTTCTGAAATTCCATTTGCTGCTGCCTGGTGCTTTCTGAAAACCATTGAGCTCCCTGGTTGTACATAGAAAGACCTTTCTTAAGAGACGCTTTCATTTGTCCTCCTCTGCCTGTAGCTCCTTCCAAAGTACGCCACACGAGATTCCTTTTACTGACATCAAAGCCTATTACCTGGGAAGGCTGTTAATAAGGAACATAAAACTTAAGTTCAGCTCATCTTGAAGGACTAATCCAACCTACAAGGATAAAGCCAAGTAGATTTCGACTAACTATAATTACTGGCTTGAGGTTGTTCAGTCTGTAATAAGGTTACATTTTGGGTCTCTGAAAGGACTAGCCCACCCTGCAACATGGTCAAAGACAAGCAGATTTTGACTTAACTATAATTACTGGCATGAGGTTGTTCCATCTGTGTAATAAGGTTAAATTTGAGGTCTCCGGGTGTATCATTTTACATTCACTGTTAGGGTGCTCAGAAAGAAAGGGCCAAGTGAGGAATACAGAGGCAAGATCTCTACCAAAGAGCAAAGCATACTTATGAGGTGGCAGAGAAGCTTGTGGTGGTACCAAAATCTAAGCTAGATTTTGAGATCTCACAATAAGCCCCCTCAAAATCCCGAGAAACACAGATAAAACTCTATGCTGTGGTCTTCTGTTTTAGGAAGTGGCTGATAAAGAAATTGCTGACTTGCCCCGGGACAGCTGCCCCGTGAGGATCCGAAATAGGTGTGTCCTGACATCCCGCCCTCGGGGAGTGAAGCGGCGATGGAGGCTCAGCAGAATCGTTTTCCGACATTTTGCTGACCATGCTCAGATGTCTGGGGTACAGAGGGCTATGTGGTAGATGACTGCGTGGATGTTCATCGAGGCAGAAAACACAAAACAGGCTCAGTCTGTGTGGTTGAATAATTAAAGCAAAACTGTCCTGTCTAGGAGTCCAGTGTCAATATCAAACTAGTAAGGGAAGGATGGGAAGCCGTGCGGATTCACTGAAGTGGCTGACTGGATTGTGATTGGTATCAGCCAAGTGACAAGAAGCAGCATAACTGCACTAAGCTGGTCTGTACGAGAGGCAGTTTTACTTTAAGGGTGGGGGGGGAAAGAAAAATCACTACCTGATGGTTGCAGAACTAAGCTGAGGTTTGTGACATGGGCAACGTTGGAAATAAAAACATACAGCACAAGGCTTGTTTAAGCAGTTTTTTT